GGGATCCTCGCCCCCAACGATGGCTGGGAGAGCCTAGGTCCTCTCCGGCCGGCAGAGGCCTGCATACCTAGGTGCCCTTTTTGGCTGACCAGCTGGAGACAGGCAATCCCTTCTCTGCAATATCCTGTACCTGTGGCTCTGATTTGTGCCTTGATCCGGTGTCTCACTCTGACCAGCTCAAATGATGTTGTTGTCGAGATCAGCCTTCCATTCTATCCGTTATGCCCTGCACAACAATTTCACGTGTCAGCCAAACAGCGAATCATCTCACCTACGACGCCCCTGTTTGTCCTTGTCTGTTATAAGCCGGGAATTGACGCAATCTCGAGCGTCACAGCGTTTGTAAGTCGTCTCTTGGGGGCAAGTGACGACAAAGCCTCGCTGGGCAGTAGATGATCGACGTGCTAAGAGCAGATCTCCTAGCGGCATCGGTTGCTATGAAATGCCCTGCTTACAGGGACGAATGCCCACCGTGATGCCCCATACACTAATGGTAACCTCGTGATGGTTTTCGTCGCCGTGAGGGGCTCGACAGCCTGGACGTTGGGGGGCCTTTCCTACGTCTATGCTCACGGCTGTTGCGGTAGATGAGCATCTCAGCCACCTGCCTAGCCAGGCCATCGTAGCCATGACGAGACGCTACACTTGGCCAGACTCGCCATGTACCCGTACCTCCGTTCTGCAAACTGCTTGTACCTGGACCATCGAGGTTCCATAACGTAGCAAGCCGACTTTGCTCATCGTGAGAGGCTCAGGACGGCCCTGCTGAAATGCCACTTCAACGATGGCGCCCTGGGGTCTCCTAGTGGAGGCTATCATCCGAGCCAGTATCCTCGCCAAGCTTGACGATGAAGTGGAGGCTAACCGCACCATGTTGCCGTGCTTGCTCCATGAATATGCCTTCCGATCGCTTGATTGCTCACATGAAGACACTCGGCCGAGCTTTTAGACAGCTTTCGACTGAGTCCGGCAAACTCGGGCTCGACGCGGACATGAGTGCTATCCCGAATTCCTGTTACCTGGTTTTTATTGACCGCGTCAAGGATTCCATGGCCAATTTCGAAGCTTGTGGTGAATGCCAGTCAAGCACATTGCCGCAGCTGCAGATTTGACTGGAAGAGCTAATCTGTTAGAGTGAAGTCCGGCGTGACTGCGTCATCTCTAAAGTCGCCCATCATTATCAATTGCAATTATGCGAAGAATGCACTAGGCTGGTCTGGGTGACGGACTTCGTCAGATTCGGAACTGAGTCGAGAGTTTCGCGAGCTAAGCTCCGAACGAGTTGGTAAGACGGAAACGATGACAAAATAGTCGTGGGAAGGCCTCTCAAAGAGGTCGCTAGCCGTTTCGGACGGGTCCGTCTCAGGTCAAACACCTCTGGGAAACATTTTAGTGGCGGTTTACTTTCCGGTGCCAGATCTGAAGAGCTCAGCTCACTTCCCCATTGAGACTACGGCCAGCGAACTGTGACGCTTATGCTGTGACGCTTGGCGAACTCCTTAGGAGCCGATTCTGGAGGCAGATTGGTCCAGGGAAACCCGCATGAGAAGCTTGTTGGTCATGACAAAAGTTGTTTGACGGGTCTGTCATCGAGTTTAAGCCGATGATTTCTCAGGCGAGGCTGACGCTGCCTAATGCAACAACTCGGGTATGAGATGCACCGTGAGACAGCTTCATCCCAAGTTGCAGAAGGGGGGGTTGCTGCGTAGGTTTCCGATCGCCCGAGCCCACCGAAGACTAGACCAAATCATGGTTCTCGCATGCTGACTGATCCGAAGAACACTACGACTCAATCGGTTGACATGATCCCGACCAGTAGTGTGATATCCAGTCCTGAACATAACTGTTCTGCAGTGGGCTCCCGGCTGATTCGGCCGGCGGATCCAGCCAAGACCGACCTCACGCCGTGTTGCCGAGCCGGAGCATGCCGATCATCATCAGAGGGAAGTCCGGTGACCCCCAACAGAGTGCTGAACCCGCTTGATGGGTCAATCAAGGACATGTGAATACTGAATAACGTAGCTAGAGGCGGGGAAAGTCCTCTTGGTATTGTGGAAAAGAGCCTGCAGAAGCAAATTGATGAAGATCTTGACTCTGTCTTTGCTTGTCCATTCTCCCTAGTAGAAAACCCCCAATTCGGCAAAACAGTCGCATGAGTGTCTCGTCTGTAGATGAATCTACATATTGTATCGTGCGATGACCATGTACAGAGACCTGTTGGTCGTGCATGTCGAGACGTGCGAGTCGGTCACCAACTCTCACAGCCGCCAAAGAAACGACGAGGTCCACCATGCTGTGTTGAGATTTTGCTTTTCAAGTGTTTTTAGATGGCTCTGGTCCAGACTTGTGGACGGGAAGCAAAGTTTCTTAGACAAGGGCTTGCAGGACCCGTGATGTGTGTTGGGGCTCCAATGGCGATGTTTCTCGTTTTACCCTGGCCGATCGTGCTTGATGAGCCCATTCAATCAAAGTCCACTCCTTGCAGAAAGAAGCAAGACCATGACGGCGACACTCCCATGATGCATTGCAGATGCAAAGGAAACAGATCCTCCTGCAGGATCTTGCAGAAGAAGTGAACGTCCTCTCCAAAGCCGTCTTACGCCCAGCGTGTCTTTACGGTCGAGTGCAGTGTTGCGTGGGTATGTTTTACTCGGGTTGCAGGGGGTATATATTAGGCTCTGCGACAGGCTATATATGATGTGACGAAAAGAGTTGTGAGGTTGTTGTCTCTCAAATCTCATTTGTCGTGTGCACTTCATTCCTTGATGAGTGAGGATGGAGAACTGAGATCTGACCAAATATCTGGAACACATTAGCCTGTTCGCTTCCGGATATCCTTGCCACTGGGTAGTCAGAAAAAGCAAAACCATGAGCTGGGGATCTGTCGATTGGCTGCCCAGTATGAAATACGCGAGGTGTCTGTCGGATGTTGAGTTCGATCGGTTCAGTACCATGGTTGCAGATTACCGTCCAACAGGGCTCATCTTTGGTGGCGATCGAGCCAATCTTGCAGTGCGTAAGCAAACATGATGCCGATGGGGGCGGGTCAGAGTCGATTACAGTTCCAAGATGCGACTTGTGGACTAGATATGAGAGAAAAAAGAACCTCTTCCATGTGATGAAAGACGGGTGCTCATGATAGGTGTGTTTGCTTGTCAAGAACCCCGGTCGCAGAGGCTAGCAGATCAACCGCACCTCCTCGGTGCCAACTATTTGTGTCGTTGGGAGACGAGCTGTCGGATTTCTGGATGCAAGGAGGTATGATCCCGGTGGCAGACCGGACGCGGTTCAGCAGCCATCCCAACGTTGTCACCAGTGCTGCTTCGGGTCACCACGGGGAAGCTGCCGGACCGGTCTGAACAAGGTGTTGTCAAACTGACGAAAACCGTTGCCAACCGTCCGGAGCCACAGAATCGTACCATGGGAATCTGACAGGCCGGGGACCGTTGTTCGTTGAGATGGTGGTTGGTTGTAGAAAAAGAAATAATGCCCGTATGTATCTTCTAGATCGACACTGTGCCACGACAGCGGTGATCTGGTGTTGGTGACTGCTTGTCCAATGTTTGCTTTTTTGGCCCCGGGCCAGACCTTTAAAGCCGCTTGATATTAGTTGATTTGTCTCAATGATGTCTCTTCATGTCTGCTGACCTGTCACTTGTCGCTTCTGGACACGAGAAGAGCTGTTGCTGAAAAAGCAAAACAAACTTTGCAATTCCTATGGTTTGGTGAGGACGAAGTCACGATTGTACTGCTACTTGGCCCCAACGGCTGGTTGCCATGGGATGTGGATAGCATGCTGGAAGTTGGAACCAAACCTGTTCTGGGTAATTCGGCGAGTCTTCCGTCGTCCTCGGGCTGAAACTGGGTTGGCTCATTGGGGGTGTTTCTGTCGAGATAAGAAAGACTTACTTGGTACAGATAATGATGGCGTTGTGATCGGTGATGTTGAATGATGTCAAGGAAGAAGCAGAAGAGTACGGGGAAGTTGGCAGTTACAGTTCGTGAGGCAAGCCACGGTTTCGTCTGTGCCTGCTCCAATGCGACGTAGATGTAGACACCGGCAGCCAGTTTACGTCACGTGGGTACTCTTGCCCTCCATCTTGCCAGGAGGGTTGCGAGAATGGAAAGGGCGTTTCGCATAGCATGACGAGAAGGGGGAGGGGGCATGCTTTTCAGCGAGGTAACAGGGGATATCTTACAGCGGGATAAGGGATTGATGAGGCTGTGAATTGAACACCAGGATGGCTATGAGATGAGGATTTCAGATAGTGACAGAGGAGCCACTGGCGAAGCTTCAACCGAATTACACTTGCTCCATGTTGTCAACAAGTAACTTCGCAGTGCCGTTGCCTTGTGAGGTGGTTTCCGCTCATATTTGAGGATAAAGCAATCTGATTTACCGATAGCTAAGTGGAACTTAGCAGGTTTGTGTTCAAAGTCAGCAGTTATGTGACCAGAAAACACGATAGGAGACGACAGCAGAAACATGACATCTCCAAATTCACGCCTTCATACAACATACAGTCAACTCACGGACGCGAAAGAAGACAGTTCAGACTTAAAGAAAAGTTGGTGGTTGTACTGGCTATGCTGCCGCCACTCGAAGATACATATCCTTTTCGTTAATCAGCATTTTATGAAAGATACGAATTCCAACTGATTCTGCCCAGCTCATCTTTTCCAACCCATTTCCTCATCAATTACGGCCTGGAAACTCACAACAATGTGTCCTGGCTGCCGCAGACTCGGCTCCCCGGAACCCTCGCCCTCGCCAGACAGACCCAGAAGAGAACCTGGAGGACGAAGACGACCGGGAGGAAGGGGAGCAGCCGCAGCCGCAGCCGCAGCCACAGCACTTTGACAGGCCGGCGCCGCCTTGAAAGAAGCTCCGACCGGGACCCAAGACCGTCGTTCACTCGGCGCCTAGCCATGACGGTATCCCGGCCTTCGTGGCATAGTCAGTCCCCGGAGACACCCCATACAATGTCAAATTGACTCCCATGCGCCCGGCGTGGGCTTACGTCTTCTACGACACTAGCCCGGGGACTCTTAATCCGGGACGCGCCGAGGATCTGGCCCGCTCCATCTTCGACGGCACCGAAAACAGCCGCAGCTCTGACGGACAACCAGAAAGAATCGAGGTCTTTGCCGTGCCTCTCCCACCTCTGTCCGAGATCGGGAGCCCGTATTCCGCCGAGGAGCCGGGGCTTGAGCTCGTCCTCTCGCAAGAGAGCCCCTGGTGTGCCCGTCTTGCCGAACGTGTGTCGCCAGATCCCCAGTACGCACACTGCCTTCGGCACGCCGCCGCTTGCATAAACCATTACGAGCGGGAAGTCCAGAGCCCTCTGACTATATCGGGTAGGGCGGAGGCGGTATCGCGGTACCTCCCAGAATTGTTCTGCGGCACCTACTACACCCGTCACATCGTTATTGTAGACAGGCTTGAGGATGAACCCAAAAACCCGCCCAGGCCTACTCGCTAGCAGGACACGCTCGCCTGGACACAACCTCTCCTACGCGACCCACAGGATTCGAATTTCAAAAAGGGCGGAGAGGGCTGGAGGTCAGCTGGCGCCTTCGCGATGAGAACGAGGACGACGAAGCGCCGCCACTCGCCTGACTCGAGATCGCGTTTGAGATGCTGGGCCAGTCGGCGTTGATTTCCAACTCATATGGGGTAAATGTTCTCTATGAGCATTTCATCCCCGACGGCGTATTCGATTTTGAAAGAGAGAAGGCTCGTGAACGAGGAGCAGATGATGGAGTGGGCTTGCCGATGCAGACTAGATAGATCCTCTGCTCGCCTTTACCGTTGGGCAGAGTCGCTAGGCTAGAACTTGGTAATTTTGGAAGAGGCGGGCATGCTTCTTCACGCTTGACTGGTCGGAAGGGTTTTAGAAGGTCAAGGAGAAACACAGGCCTTGGGAGCTTACTCAACCAGTTCGGGTCGTCGGTATTGCTCCACACCACCTTTTTCTTAAGGTGTTGACGCTCTTGAGTTTTGTCTCGTAGGCGGTCTTGGCCTTGCTGCCGTTCTTGAGAGCGGCTGGCCCCTCGATGCCCAGGAGGTAATCCTCAATAAATTGAGCGTAGAGAGCGCGGAGCGAAGGGCTGCCCTTACTGTTCACAGGAGTCCCGGCCCTTTTATTCCAGCGTCCGGCGTACTAGTTGTCAAACTCCCAAAACACCAGGCCGAACCAGTTGGACACCCGCATCCCCTTGTTCCACACGGGTTCGACGACGGGGAAAGGGCCTGAGCCACCCGTGCCGCTAGAGAGAGAGAGAGAGAGAGAGAGAGAGAGAGAGAGAGAGAGAGAGAGAGAGAGAACTACCAATCCAGTTCCCCATACTGGGTAATACGTGTTGATGTCTTTAACAAACAGCGTTCTAGTCACAGCGGTTAGCGACTTCGTCTCACGGAAAGAAAGCAGACGCAGGACTTACGAAGCATTCAGTTGGGCAAAAACCTCAACGTCTTCATTGACGCTGTAGCAGTATTACCACGCCAAGTTGGAGCTGGAACCAGCGGATCCGTACAAGGTCACTCGACCATTGACACCAAAGTCGATCTGTGAGAGGAGTCAGTCAGTGGCAGAACGAGGGCTTGAAGGTATGTTGTGATCGACGGCCGAGGAAACCACTTCACTTACAGATGCATCTGAGACCGAGTCGTCGCTGAAAACGATGCCGAGCGTGACCTTTGGCACCACCGATTAGGTCAACTCGCCAGATGCGTCCACGTCGTAGTAGACCTTGGCATCCTGCAGCGCCGACTGCGGGTCCGACGAGCGTACGTCGGCCGATTTGGGCGTCTTGGCCGCGGTCTTCGTAGGAAATCCACTGTTTGTTGTCTTCACTGTAGCTGAGGAAGCGAGTTAGCCATCATGAACGTCTTGATCGCGTGAAATAAAGCCTGCGAGAACAAGCGTAAACACAAAAAACATATCTCAGGTAGTTGATGCCGGTGCCTTTCATCGACCTTGCTGTTGCCGAGACCAAGGTTTTGAACTAATCTTGTCGTAGGACATGAAGCCTGGTCTCCCGGTGCATTGTCACGAGATTCCGGCGTCCGCCGCAGCACATCCGACCCCGGAGAATGATGTCGAGCCCAGCTTATATGAGCGGTCAAAGAAGCCGATGCCGAGGTTGATCTTGGTCGCCGGGACGCCGGCGCTGCCCAGCGCGTCGACGGCGGCCTCGATGGACTTGTGGTCCGACATGGCGCGCGTGACACTCTGATCCTGGCTGTCGGCATCGTAGGCGATGAGGTTGATCCAGCCGGCGGAATTCGCCATTGTCGCGAGTTCGAGACGCGCGAGAGTCTCCTCTTCAACTGGCGCCGTGAAAGAGATACCCCAGGCCGACGACGTCGCCGAGCGCGAGTTGAAGTACAGTCGCATCTCTTGAATCAGCAACGCATTGTTCTTGGACTCATTGCCGGCCGCTGGCCATTGCCAGTCAATTTCGACGCCGTCAAAGGCGAACTCTTGCATGCAGGAGGCGAGGTTGGATAGGAACTTCTGAAACTTATCACGATGTGAATCTATGCGCAACTAAGCAATATGTTATTATGCGTGATATGCTTTACATTTTTTCGTGAATTGCTGATATGATATCCGGCGCTTATTAGCTTTTTTTTTAATGGGAGAGCGGACCGGATCCCGAACTTTTCAACAAGTATGGTCGTATGTGGCGGAATGAGGGCATCGTGATGTCTAAGGCGCTAGAGGCCATGACGAGCGTGACAGGCTCAGTGGCTCAAACACAAGAATACGAGAACTGTATCATTGCATTCTTAGACTCAGCGAATAGCTTCAAAACAGTGGGAATCAACTTAGAATAGGGTGTGGCGTGGATGGACGATCCTCGCTCAAAACAAGTGTCAAGCTCCACTCTCACCTCTAATGAGAAATGTTGACTATATCATCAAACCATTCGGTGTCAATGTTGATGACTCTCAACTTAATAACAAAACGTAATGAAATAAGACATATCTAATACAATTGACAACACCACGCCGAGATCTCCCCCCAGCTAACGATCAGCCAGCTGACCGAGACCAGACCACGCGCAATTTGTGATGTCCACCTCCCAGCGCGATGACATGACAACAGTGAACTAATATAACTCACCTCAATGAGGTTGGATTCATTTTAAATCATTATCGATAACATCCTAGACTCAGTATCGCCCGCCCATGCTCTCTAGATCCGCCTCCTCCAACACGGGACTATTGACACCACCCCCTTTTTGCACCGAACTCGTCCCAACACCTGTTCCACCACCTCCTATACTCCAGCTACCCCAGCTATTCCTTTCTCGAGACTCTCTTGCACAAGTCTCTGTCAACTCACACAAGTCCCTCGACTCCTTCCCCAATACCACGCCCCGGGCAGGATTCCGAGGCGGAACCCACCCATCGCTGACAGCAGCGCTGACACTATCGAAACTGTCCCCTCGTTTCTGCTGCTGCTGGTGCTGCAGTAGTAGTTTCTTGTGAAATGACACGGGACTCGCGGGACTCCCAGGAGGTGCCGGAGGAAGCGAGCGAGCCGGAGGAGGACCAGGACAGACCAGATCTGGTATATGTAGCGGCTTCTCATGAGGGCGCGGAGGCCGTATCGGCCATGAGGGCGTGATGTGCGGGAATATGCTTGATACGTTGGATACGGTGGTGGCGGTGCGACTGCTGGCCGCGCTGCTCATGCTCGACGTCTTTCCGGAGGATCGGAGGCCGGCGCCACCACCGAATACATTCGGTGGTGGAGAAACGCCGTAGTATGGCTTTGTGGAGCGGTCGTATTTCGGAGGGATTCTATTTGTCGAAGGCGTAGGTGTTAAGCCTGGCGAGAAGCGGGACGGTGAAAAGCCACCTGCCTTTTCGACTGAGGCGCCGAGCGGAGTTCCTGGGATGGAGACGTTGATGTTGATGCTTGGTCTTCCGGTGCTCCCATGGGTGGAAAGCAGCCTTCGTTGCTGAAGACGGGGTGGAGGTGTCAAAGGCGTACGGATGCCTTCGCGTATAGCATACAAGTGGCCCGAAAGGGGCGTGGGCGACGTGTCTGGTCGGGGGTTAGGATGCCCGATTTCGCTCTTGAGGCTATGACCGTAATCGTCCTGCGAGCGACGACGGAAAAGACATATCACGAAGGCCATGATTGCGAGGAAGGCTATGGCAGACGACGTGCCTATGGCAACTTTGGTTCCCATAGACAGCCCGACTTTTCGGTGGCTTTGAGACTGATTTGCAAGTGGAACGAAGGTTGTCGGAGTTACTGTCGCTGAAGTTGTTGAATGTGTCGACGTTTTTGAGACCGATGATACAATCGATGACATAGTCGGTGTCATCTCTTCTGATAAGCCGGTGGCCAATATCTCGAAGTCGGTGAGTACTGATCCTTCTCCTCTTGAATCTGTCTTGTACCGCGGGACTGGATCCGAATTGATATATGGTCCGTTCAACGATATCGGACAGAAGCGGTCGTCTGGTGGAGGGCCTGGGTCTTTAATCGCTGGTGTGATGATGCTGAGTTTTGAGGTTAGTAGGGAATGTCGAGACTTGAAGGAGACGACTCACTTTTGGCATACATTAATAACCATATTTACGCTGGCTGAGCTAGGATCAGAAGCCATAAGACCACACGATGAAGGCTTTCTCTCTACTCACGATCCTGTCCCAGTTCTAGCTTCTCACTCCAGCGAACCCCGCAGTCAGTCGCGTCGCAGCAATATAGTTCCCATAAAGTGTTCTTCGCGTCCTCTCCTTCCGACAGTAGCTTCTTGCACACCTCATTGTACCTTGATCCGTTAAAGCCCGGTACCACTCTTGTTAGGACCTGAGCTCTGCACTCCTCGATGCACTTTTGCGGATCCGAAACATTGCTCGCCACTGTTTCCCATGCCTCCTCTTTCTTGTCCAGGTCTGGATGATCATCTTCCCCCATTCCCATAGTCGATGAATGAACCCCAGTCAAGCAGGGCTGTGATGAACGGCGGGGTGAATTTCTACCTCGTCTTGGTGAGTGTAACCGTAGGTATAGTGCCGTGTGAGTCCGTGGATGAGAGGCTTTCCAGGTTAAGTGATACAAAAACCAAGTTTACCAAGTGCGCTTCAGCTGAAGTCAAGAAGCCTCTTCGTGTAAAATGGTCTTGGCAAACGTGGAAATGATGATGTGTGGTATCAAGCCGACGGAACTCAAATGCAAGATTTAACGAGGTGCTCACATCTCCAGAAAGACGTCCATATCGTCGATATATACCATGTCCATTTCTAGACATACCGGGCAGCTCGCACGGGAGGCTCGGCGAAATTGAGAGGCGGATAAGGGGTCGGAAGAGGCTGGTCAAGCATCAACGTAGTGGCTACACCGCACTGTATCTGCCCGCTCCCGGATCGAAGTGGTCTTCGTATGTAGTCAACGTCGCACAGCCTGCAGAGAGTGTTGGAAGAGAAACCTGCACGCACCCGACTGGCCGTAACGTGTTGGAGAGAAAGTAAGCCAGGACTTGGACAGTTGACGTAAGGTAGGCCGTGAACCCGCCGCAAATAGAAACTAAAGAAAATTCTATTGGCTTGGATGCCATGATCTCTACTGGCTTCGAGATCTTAACTCCGTGATGGGCGTGCTTGAAGATTCTGCATCAACAAGGGGTGGAAGCTGACATCCCTATGAGAAGAGAAGTCCATTTCGGCGTCCACCAAGCTCGTGTTCCTCGAGTCTCTCAACGAAAGGCGTTCCGCTCGTTGAGATGGCACCCGAAAGTCTCTCACCTCATTTCGCTCGAGGGTCGGTCCTGGAACGAGAAGCTCATAGACTCTACGATTGGACCTGCATTTGTAAGGCTTCCGTGTCACGAACGGCCCTACTTCGCACGAAACTCAACAGGAAGCACCGCGGCGGGGACCGCATTCGCAATTCCATCCATACGGAGGATACACGCTAGGTACGGCAACAATATGTCCCCCATTTCCCCCTCTCTTGATCGGCAGTTCTTTTTGAAGACGGCCCGTTCAGCCAGCCGACTAAAGTACTAAGCTTATATAGGATGGGTGTAGCCATCTTTCTGGCTACTCCGCCCGGGACTAGTGTAGCGAGGGTACCACAAACTGGGCCAGGGATCTTCTGGCGGCGTTCATTGAAGAACACAGACCATGGTATCACCGGGTCGGAAACCAATGAATCTCCATCTTACGCGAGCTCCCACGGGTTCGTTGTCAGACTTCCGCGAGATGCCTTCCAGGATGAGCTAGCGTCGTTGTACTCGTTGTTCAACTTGGGAATATCCTTGTTCTTTACATGCGAGCTCGATGGAATTCTGGTGACTCTTGATCCCTTCGGGTGTCTCGGTTGTGCGGAGGAGAGTATATCGGTAGAATGAGGTCGCACAAGCTTATTGCCCACGACGCGAGCGGCAAGGCTCAGTATGGACTGCGATACTGACATGGAATTCGTAGGAGGGCTGGTATCCTAATCTTCTTTCAGTCGAAGAATCCTCTTCTGAGAAGACTGGGAGGAAAAAGCAATTCGTCACGGGTAAGTAGCTCAATATCTTCTAGAAGCCTGGGTATCGTGTCGAAAACAGTTGTTTCTCGGGTTGAGACAGCTTTCCATGTCTGTAGCCGTCGCACTCGCGTCATATAGGTCCTTGCCTTGACGTTGTCTCGGCGGAAAGCAATCAACCAGCAGCTACACTGAGGAACCAGAGAAACATGCAGCGTGGAACGGAGATTATACCTACATAGTCTAGAGTTGCGAATGCTACACCAGTATGATCAGCATTCACTCTCCCTCAACCTCCATCGATTTTACGTGTAGGACTGAAAAAGAGTATTTCAGAAAGGGGTGACTGAGGGTGATCGCTAGCAGGTTGTAGATCAGGTGCAGGTGGCGGCAGCATGTCGCAGGTTGGCCAAGGTAGGGCTGTACAACTCACGTGGGAAATTCTCCGTGATACCTGCCTAGGAAGCTGAAAGGTCGAACACTGGGGAGAATAATCAACGGCGATATCCCATTGGTATGGCGTTCCGTGGCTGTAGATTGATGGCCGAGGGCTGCAGGGATTTTCAGAGATATCTGAAGCCACCCGGGGTGGCTGACATGCACGACGGGCGGCCATGCCTTGGTATTGGGAAGCGTGGTACTTGCGCCCCCTATTCTATACTCAGTCTCAGCTTCTAAGGGAACGAGTAGATCGTTCTAGAGGTTGATGGCACTTTGCGCATTCGGTTGTGAATGAGCCGTCATGGGTCCCCTCAAATGGCCTCGTATTGCTTTCTCATCACATGATGACATAGAGGTCTACAGCCGGATTTACGACCAGGTCGCGCCACCCAGTACTTACAAGCTGTTCTGGGCTTCAAATTTCACGCCGTAAAGTGGCTGCTGACCATAGCATCTTGTGTCTTCTCGATATCAAAATTCAGCGTTATGGCTCGTCTACAGAATTTGGATCCCGCGATGAAGCACAAAAGGCCTAGCATGCCCCTCAAATCACACAACCTGAAGAAAAAAAGCGCATGCGGATCCGGACATTTGACTCAATAAGTAGTTTCACCCGGAGCTTACAACCGTAGGAAACAGGGTGGTGAAAAGGGTGATGCGCCACCGATGGGAGGCTGCAGTAAAACCGACGGATTTCCGTGATGTTTGCTGGCTCAGCTCCGATCCACCCGGAGGGTAGCGAATATGATAGTCCTTGATTTTTGAAGAGGGCGTTAGCTGATCGATGCGTGGTTACGCAGTCTCCCGTCGAAGGTCATTGAGACACGGGGGGAGGAGCAAGGCTTCTCTTCACTGGGGGACCGATCATTCTCGCAAAGGCAACGAGCGTCATTTGAGTATTATGACTGAGTAGCAGGTAGGTTGTGCGGGAAATAGATGAAGAGCATTGCAGAAAGCTGCGTATATCCAACCTTGATAGTGCTACCTCTGGCTACCTAAGCTTCCATAGCGTAGGTGACTGAGATTCATCGATAGAAGACCACAGTTCGTGCAACGTAAGAATGCGGGGGAAGCCCATCGTTTGATCCAACTATGAATCTAATGATGTCCCTCTGGAAAACCTGCCTGTATTGCTTTGGGGATGTTGGGAATGTAGTCATTCGATGAAAGTAAGGATGGAATCCGAGTAACCGTGGTTGAACGTTCAAAATGTGCGATGAAATATTTCGTAAAGCCACAGTAAAGAAGACCATCCCGGATATTACATAAACTCATAAACCCAACGCCGCCCAATATGCTTTCTATGCAGACTCTCCCATGCTCTGAATCATATCAACCGTACCATTCGCAACACCCACAAACGCAGCCGCCGGCTTCGCCTCCCCTTCAACCCTATCTTCAGGTCTTCCATAGCCGCCGCCGCCAGGCGACATGATGACGATGCGGTCGCCCGCCTCCATCCTCGCCGTGTTCTTCCCGCCGAGGTTGACGACGCGCCCGCTCTTCTTAACCCACACGTTGCGGCCTCGCTGCCCGTCCTCGCCGCCCGCCATGCCGTACGGCGCAAACGCTCTCCGCTCGCTGAGGATGCTGACCTTGATCGGGATGTTGAACTCAATGTCCCGAATGATGCCGTCGCCTCCCGTGTGCGCTCCTTTCCCGCCGCTGCCCTCGCGCAGGCAGAATTGCCGGAGGATGACGGGATACCGCCTCTCGAGCGACTCCGGGTCCGTGATACGCGTGTTGGTCATGTTGGTGTGCACGCCGCTGACGCCGTCCCACGTCGGTCCGCCGCCGGCGCCGCCGCAGATGGTTTCGTAGTACCCGAATCCGGTCTCCGGGTCGTCCGTGCCGAAGGTAAGGTTGTTCATGCACCCCTGGCTGGCGGCGGCCGCGCCAAAGGCCTTGAAGATTACGTCGACGACGCGCTGCGAGGTTAGGACGTTACCGGCGCACACGGCGGCGTACTCTGTCGGCTTCAGAAGGGATGCCTCAGGGACCTGCACGTCGATGGGGCGGATGGCGCCCTGGTTGAGCGGGATCTCGGCGTCGACCATGCAGCGCAGGGCGAAGATGATGGATGAGTTGCAGATTGCGATGGGGGCGTTCCAGTTGCCGTAGGCCTCGGGACCGGTGCCGTTGAAGTCAAAGACGGCGCCACCGGTGGTGGGGTCGATTGTAACTTTGAGCTGGATCGGGGTGCCGTCATCCATGTAGTCGATTGCCTCAAGCGGCTTGCCAGCCGTGCGCTTGTGGATCGTCTTGAGCATATCGCGGACGGCGCGCTCGGCTGCGCCTTGGATCTCTTCCACTGTTTGGGGTGTCAGCATGGGAGATTCTATTTCTATGGCTGAAGGGAAGTAACTTACTGTAGAACTGGACGACATCGAGACCGTAATCCTCGATCAGGGAGTGGATCAGCTGACTTCCGCGGTGGTTCGCTGCAGCCTGCGCCTTGATATCGGAGATGTTGTCGCGGAGGCATCTGGTACCGGAGCAGCCCGGGGAATGCGCCGGCGCCATGAGGAGGTCGATCAGCTCCTTCTCCTTGAAGACACCGCCCTCGACAACCTTGAAGGCCTTGATAACGGCGCCTTCTTCCCACAGCTCCTTGGAGTTGGGGGGCATGGAGCCGGGGAGGATGCCGCCGACGTCGGCGTGGTGGCCTCTGGAGGCAGTCCAGAAAATAATCTTGGTGCCCTCGGCGTTGAAGACGGGAGTGATGACTGTGAGATCGGGTAGATGGGTGCCTCCGCAGACTGGCGCGTTGGAGAGAATGACGTCTCCTGGCTTGAGGTCGGCGCCCCAGTGGTCGATTTGCCACTTCACGGCGAATGCCATACTTCCGATCTAGACTACATTAGCATTCATCTTCAACGTATCTTATGTTCTGTCCCCGAAGAACTTACCATGGCAGGCACGTGAGGAGCATTGGCAACAAGCCCTCCATCAGGCGAGAACACGGTACACGAGAAATCCAGTCTCTCCTTAATGTTGGTGCTCACACTCGTCTTCTGCAGCGCGCGACCAGCCTGCTCCGCGACGCCCATGAAGCGATGGCCAAAGATGGACAACTGAATGGGATCAATGGTCGTCGTGGAGATGGTCTCCTTGGTTCCAACGGCAACGTCAATCACCACCGTCTCAGAGAGCACCGTCGCCGCCGCGTCGGGGATAACGACAATCGTCTGCTTGTCGTCCATGATGAGCGCCGGGCCGGCGATCCTGGTATGAGGCGTCAAACCTGCGAGACCATAAACAGGCGTCTCGGACCAGCCCAGGCCCTTGAAGTAAACCTGCTTAGTTGTCTTTGCCGGCGGCGCGGCTGTGGCCTCTGCGGAAGCGAGCTCCTTGGGCCAAGGGACGGGAAGCTGGACCGTCGTCTTGCCGATGGCGCGGACGCGGTAGTCGTCGATGATAACGTCGCGGCCGACGGGCAAGAACCCAAACTGCTTCTGGTGAGCGTCCTTGAAGGCCTCGAGGTACCCTCCGCCTGGCGCGGCCGCCGTCTCCTGGATCATGAGCGGGGTATCGCTGCCCTGGAAGCGCATGTTGAGGTAGCGCTCGGAGACGATGCGTTCATGTGGGATGCGCTGCATGAGGAGGACGTCGCCGGCTCTCTGGACGAGCTTGTCAAGCTCCGAGGCGAAGACGGCGAGGTTGGCCTCGGTGTAGGTCAGGGCGCAGGGGCTGCGCTCCTCACTGACGACGTCGGCGAGGGCCATGCCGTAGGCGGAGAGGACGGAGGAGTACTTGTGGACGAGGACGCGGGAGATGCCGAGTGTCTTTGCAATGTCGCAGGCGTGTTGGCCGCCGGCGCCGCCGAAGGAGGCGAGGTTGTGGAGGCCTGCGTCGTAGCCTTTTGCTTCGGTGAGGGTGCGGATGGGCCGGCACATGGACTCGTTGGCGACGTCGAGGAAGCTGCGCGTTGTGTCAGTTCAAGAATGCTTCGTGGAGAGAGCACTGGTCATAGTATTACTTACCCAGCTGCGGCTTGTTCCACGGTCAAAGTGGTGCCCTCGTCCTTGTTGATGCTCGCCGTGAGCTCTTCAAATAGGCGTCTGCTGGCGTCGACATCCAGGGGCAAGTCCTCGTTGGGACCAAAGATCTTGGGGAAGAACTCGGGCCTCACGCGGCCGAGAACGACATTAGCATCGGTGACGGTCAGGGGACCACCCTTCCTGTAGCAAGCCGGGCCCGGGTGTGCGGAGGCACTCTCGGGGCCGACTTTGAACATCCCGCTCTGCCAGCTGAGAATGCTGCCGCCGCCTGCCGCGACGGTGTTGATGTCTAGCTGGGGGGTCTGGACCATGACTCCGGCCGTCGTGGTCTCGAAGACTTGCTCAAGCTCACCGGCGTATCTAGGGCAATGTGTCAGTATCACCTTCACGAAGTGAGATTCTCCTTCATTCATACCTTGAAACGTCAGTACTCGTACCGCCCATATCGAATCCAATAACGGGCGTCTTATCCGCGTCATCATAGCACGTTCTCGCATAGCC